ATATAAGTCCCGCAAAGTTGAACCAAACTACAGGTCATCTCGACAACCTCAACACCCAGAATGAAAGTATAATTCCCATAGAAAACAAAATTTAAATACAAAATAAAAAATTATTAAAAATACAATTATTGCAGTTCCACCGTGCATAATTTCCGAAAATGTATGATTATACTTAGCTTTGTCTGTAAGTGTGTTCTCGCAGCTACATTTTTGTTTCGCCACATACCTCAAGGCGTTGCGTTGACTGAGGTTCTCTTTCACTCCTCGCACCTCTACCTGAACTCTTTCGTTCACCATAGCCATCTCATTCACGACAAGGCATCAATTCGGATGCCATTTTCCATTTCATTTTTTTACACAGCAAACAAGCATACACACACCGCGAACTATAACACTACGGGATTGCTACATAGCACACATACACACTGTAGCACTTCCATTCTTCGTTCGCTTCGAACTTTTTCCAGTATGCGTTAGGTAAAATTTACAAATAAAACACCTCCTGTGAACGATTTTAAACTTTGTGAACCGGACTAGATCAATAAAGCCTTTGTGACCTAGATTTAACTAGAACCACAAGCACTGAAACACCTCAATTCGCTCAAAACAAACGTGAAAATGGGAGCTAAGTCGACGCACGTCCAATCACGACGGATAGTTGATCTGAACTCCCGTCACGCCATTTTTTCCAACTTTCGAAAAACTGACAGCGATAAAAATATAGTGTAAACAATTCACTCTAAATTACTTCTACCCAAATTTTCAAGTGAAAATACCCAATGGTAAATTTTCTACCGCGTTTTTTCCCGTGATGCAATTTGATGTGGGACACCCTTTATTCCAGATAATTCAGATCATATCGATGAACCACAAAGAGCATTTTTATTTTACACTAGCTGAGCGTGTCCGGCCTTGCTTTGGATTTAATATTAGCTTGAGTTTATGCGCCAATTAAAAAAAGCATGCTATATTGTACGTAGCCCTCCTCTCATCTTATCTAAGGCGCTACCCCCTTGACCTTCACATGCCAAATTTGGTTCCATTTGCTTGATTAGTTCTCGAGCTATGCAGAAATTTCTGTTTCATTTGCATGGGAGGCCATGCAAACCGTCATAAGAACCTTTCCCTGCCCCGAAAACCCCTGCATACAAATTTTCACGCCGATCGGTTCAGTAGTTTCCAAATCCATGAGGGTCAGACAGACAGACAGAAATTAATTTATATGGGGGAAATGGATATAATGTCGGCCTAAATGTCCCTAATTGGGGCCCATACATAAATTCAGTAATCGACTAAATTTTCAATAGCGACCAAAATAGCCATTAGTATAGTCCCAATGACGCGTTCATCTAGATAAAATTGATAAATCAAGACCAACAATTGAAATGGCCTTAACTCCATTTTGTAAGCAAACCTCGCGAACCGAAGTCCGCAGAGGCAAACCAACATGATGAACAGGTAGGGGAAATTCTCCTCTACCCAGAGATGCCAGATCTACGGAAATCTCCGTAGATCTACGGATTTTACAATTTTTTGCGGAAATACGGATCCGTAGGCAAAATCTACGGAATTCGGTACAGTTTCTACGGTTTTTTTTCTTCAGCGTACGTTTCCCTTCAGAATCGAATTTTACAATCTGATTCTGAAGGCAAAGATGCATAAAATAAAATACACCTCTACAACTTGTCAACCGTTTTCTTGCTCACTTATCCACTTTTTGAGTAAACAAACGTCAGACTGTGCGTGAAACATGGCGGCCTTCGTATTATATCTTCACTCCGTCGAAAGTTCTCATAATATACCAGCCCAGTGGCAGGCGCGTTATACCGTGACAGCGGGCCCAGAACAGCAAAATAAATGATTTGAGCCCGGGACATGCTGCCTACTGTCAAACGCTGCTGTTGGTATAGGCCTTGTCACTCGCCTGTAATATACAGTCAATCTTAGCATGAAGAGAAAAATTTTCGACGGTGCCGTGTGAAGGCGAATAAAAGTCATGTCGAGACCAGTCTTGTTAGCGGTCACCGTAGTTGACACATTTTCTGTGATAATCGACTGCCTTTGCTACCGACACTTGCAAAACAAGTTTTCAAATTACAGTACCAAACTAAAATGTCATACGACACTATCGCCGACGACCATCACGGATGTAAGTATTTTAGTTTTTCTCATAATAAGAGCTGCTGATGTTTTGCTTGTGCAAGCAACGATGTCATAGTAATAACCTTTTTTGATCAGAAATGGTTTAATTTACACCAAATTGAGGAATTAGAACGAAATCGCATGTGTCATAGAATAGTCATTTGATAATTTTCTTTTTGCTCGAATGTTGTTCTACCGTTTGCGTTATGTAAGAGAGACGACGCTCTCTTCCCCGTCAGCTCGATGATGATCAGGCCTTCAACGTGTTCATCAAAAAGCATGTAGTCCATAAGTCGTCGTACTTGTCCGGCTTTATAAAGGAAACTACGATTAAAGCGTGGCTTTCTTATTAGAGTACGACAGCACTGTACCACCGCTACGTGATCACAATTGATCAGATCGCCATAGATGGTCTTGAAACCTTCCTGTAGTGGATCTCAAATTGAGCTGGAAACCATTGCCGTGGATAATGATACAGAATCGCTGCTTGGGCAACAGGAAACGCTCCTTTAAAATGAGAACAAATGCCTGGAGATAGCTCCCGCGCAAAACAGGGTTCCTCTGTCTTTAATATATGACGAGCACGGCGAAAAGATAGCTTTTCCTGTCATTTGTTTCGGCCATCTACGGAAATTCAAGCCAGTGGTTCGGGTGACATATTTCATGATGGCATCCAGTGAAACTCGTCGTCAAGACAGGCGTGTGGCCGAACCACATTTGTTGTATATGACAATGAAAGTTCTTCGGCTTAGAGTTTCCGAAGGCTTGCAATGTACTTTTAAGTGCACGGCGACCGAAAACATTACACGTGGACCTTAAGGACCGCATTATTCATGGAGCAGTGCATTGAGCGAAATCTATCCTTCCTCAAATCAGTACCGAATTCAGTACAGTATTGGCAACAAAGGAAGAGAAATTTGTTCACCATGATGCGACAATTGGGAAAGCCTACGATGTTCCTCACACTCAGTACAAATGAGATGAAGTCGCCCCATTGGTTTAATCTCCTACATCGATTGTCAGAAGGACACAATGGCAATGAGTTAACAGATCCTATCCAGGAATTGACTGCACTACAAAGCGCAACTCTGGTCAATGATCAATGGTCACGTGCTGTGTGTACTTCAACAAGCTGGTTGACACGATTGAATTTCAGCACCGTGGAAGTCCTCACGCGCACATCTTGCTATGGCTGAACAAGGATCCCCGGGAAGGAATCAGTAAAAGTATGCCAAAAACTACAAGTGCAACAGTATCATGCTATTCATGCCAGTACTACTATCGGCCATTTTCAGGGCCACCAAGATTTCCCAAAAGAGCTAAATTTCTGAACATGTCCCAACTTAAATTCATATAAAAAGTTTCTTTTCAGGGCAATCATATTCATACTAAAGAGTATAAACAGAGAGAACCCCACTCAAATTCCTATTCCTACACAAAACACAAGTTCTGCTGCAGTTAACAAATAACATTTATTATATAGAGACTACGTAGTCCGACGTCACCATTCGTACAACCCTAGAGGGCTGTCTCTAGTATTTTTTTTTAAGTTTTTTCATCGATTTATCATTTAACGTAAAGTATCACATTAGAGCTAAAAAAAATAACAGCTTCGACCAAAAAAAAATCCGTAGAAATCCGTAGATTTGAATAAATCTACGGAATTGCATAGAAAAAAATCTGGCATCTCTGCTCTACCCGATTGTGGTTTAGGTTTGCGAACGAAGGTTTCGGTTCGCGAGAAAATGGCCTTACAAGGTTTGTTTACAAAATGGAGTTAAGGCCATTTCAATTGTTGGTCTTGAAATAGCAAATTTTTAGTGATGGGCCCAATCTTAGATCCTTAGGCCTACATTAGAGCTATTTCCCCTATGTAGATTAAAAAAGAATAGTGAATTTTTTTAAGGACGCATTTTTTTTATTTCAAATAGTTCCAGCTGTTCCCTACAACATTGCCCAAGGTACCAAACCAATGGGATAAATATTTTTTCGAGCAACAGATTTCTGAAGATAAGTTTAACATTTTTCTATTGTCCGTTTTCAAAATTAAGGCTCGATTTAAAATGGTGATCTGAAGATGCAAAATGAAATTTGTGGTTATGGTGATTGTTTTAGAAAATTTTCAGTCAAATAAAAAATACGAAAATTAATAAATTTGCGAATTCGTCTTGAATTGCTCTATAGCAACTTATGGAGACTGTAGCCACTATAGCAACACATTGCACTAACGTACCTTCAGGTACCATTGCCAGGTGCATTTACGGCACCATCAATTCACCATAAATTCGTCCCCTTAGTGCTATAACTAGGTATCTTTGTATGGCTTTCATATAAAAAATACCTAGTTGTAGCATTGATGGGACGAATAATCACACGAAGTATCAAACGTTGGTCCGAGCGTAAAGTACTGCGCACATTACTAGCGGCAAAACTCGACACTCAGCTTATTTCGATTGTTTTGTAAAACCTTTTCATCCACAATTTCCTGTTTATCGACATTGCTGATAAAGTGCATAAACCCCTATCTTAGTAAGTTGCCCAATACAGACTAACGGAGATTACGATGCTGGAATTCTTTCAGACGAGCTACCGATAAGCCCACTCCATGACCACTAGAGACTTACCTATCTAATCCGTTGATGGAATTTCTCCCTGATTCAGGTCGGCAATTGCTGCCGAAAATAGCGATGAACTGATACGGCGGCTGAGTGTAGATATTGGAGTAAGGGAATTACGTCAATCGTCGGGTCATGCTTGTCTTGTTAATGTGTATGTATTAATATTTACAACGTCAATGGGGACGCGTGTCTACCATTCTGCAGACTTGTACGATAAGCGATAAGCGAAAATAATCACAATCGCTTTAATCTTGATTTATTAGTATTTACTCAATTACAACTGTTGACACAATCTGGTTTCAGGTTCTAATGTACATCATTAAAAATTAGGCTTCAGTATTTACCGGGCTTAACATATTGTCGCGATTCATCGGTTATACTGATAAAATAAACAATCGTACCCCTAAATTCTTTTATCACATGCATTGTTTCGCTTCACACTGCATCGGGTGAGGGAATGGAACTTCCATGCATCCCATGCTTACCATATCGGGGGAAGGACAAATACTTTAGACATTTCAATATCACTTAGCGTCTGGTTCTTATCATTTAGCACGAGTTCTAAAATCTATAATACACTTGAACACCCTGACGCGGCTAATGAGCGCTCGTGATCGCTCCTGATAAGGCAACAAAATCGATTCGAGAGAGCTGATGTAAAATCTATCTATCTCTCTTGGTTTGTACTTAACCACTAAATTTCGTCAAGTGTACGAAAATGCCTCCCCGTCTGTCGACGGTCTTCTGCGCTATTCGTTGTTGAGTGTGTAGGAATTCTTCGAACTCCTTCGGGGGTGCTCGGCGAGGATTCTCGTAACGACCTTGTCATTGCTTCCATCGAAGGCATTGTTGTCGAATCCATTCTTGGTAGTCGCAGTGCCATTTCCGTTGACCAGTGTCGCCTCTTGTTTGGATAGCGCCCCTTCCACCGAATGGCGGATACCGTAGGTGAAGTAGATTAAGTAACCGATCACGATCCACACGGCGAACCGAATCCACGTTCCCGCGTCCAGTTGGAACATCAAATACAGGTTGAAGAGTACACTTAACATTGGCAGTAGTGGAACTAGAGGAACTTTAAATGTCAGTTTGGTATTTTCCGTTGGCTGCAGTGCAGTGATAACTATCAAGAGCACCATGAAGGCGCTCAGCACGGAAAGGGCTGCAATAGTTCCTGGATAGTCGGAGGAGAGTTGATCCGAAACAATGACCAGAATGGAGCAGACTGCGCACACGAGGACGGCTGAAATCGACAAGGTAAAATAATTAGTACGGATTGGGTCATTTCAAGAAAAAAATTCTACCTACCAAATAGACAAATGCCAAACTTGACGATACTCGACGATAGCAAACTTGGGCTGCTCAATTTGTCCGTGTTGAACAACTGCCGGAAAACATTCGGAATCGTAATCGTTTTGTTCTGCAAAAGCTCCTTATCCTCGTACCGCAGCACTAGGACACTGACGGCCACGATCGTGTAGGCCAGCAACGTACCTATGGACATCATATCGATCAGTTGCTGCAGATTGAATAACATTGCCATCGTAGCGGCCAGCAGACCAGCCAGTATAGTAGCCAAAACTGGAGTTTGTGTCTTCGGGTGAACCGTCCGTAGCTTCTTGTAGATGATTCCATCCGTTGACATGGCATACAGAACACGTGGCAGGGGGAACATGGCGCCCAGCAAACTGGTACACAGAGCGAAGATGGCACCGATTGAAACGATCCATTTGATCTCGTGCCATCCGAGCTGTTCGAACAGATGCGGGAACGGGGCTTCCGGATTCTGCAGATAATATGGCAGTGCCATCGTCAGTACCGTAGAGATACCGAAATAGGCCAGGAAAATGACGATCAATGAAATCACAATAGCCAACGGGATGTTACGGCTAGGGTTGATGGCTTCCTCCCCGGTGGTGGCAATACAGTCGAATCCTACGAACCCATAGAAACACTTGGCAGCTCCGGCCATGATCCCCGCGAAACCATACGGTGCAAATCCTCCCACACCGGCTTCGATGCCCTCCGGGATGTCTTCCGGCTTAATTTGCCAGTTGGCAGGATCACCTACGTAAGCAAATAACGTTCATTAGCACATTGTCAACCAATTCCCCAGGTCTACAAACGCTTACTGTTCATGCCACCGGCAACCAACACTAGTGCAATAACGCACAGGTTCACTCCGGTAAAAATGTTGTTCAGCAGGGTGGATTCCTTGACACCGTATGCCAGCAGGGCTGCCAGAATTAGGACCACTACGAAGGAGAAAAAGTCCGGATAATCCGCTAGGAAGTCTACGTTCATCCCCATAGCGTCCTTGAGGGCACCGCTCATCTTGTTGCCCGTCAGGGCATCTATGTAGCCGCTCATGCCGCGGGCCACGCTGGATGTGCCTGGAATCGAAACATGCAAGGATTCAATTGTAGTTATTTGTAGACAGCTCTGTTGTCATGGTAAACTTTGATTTTTTGTACAGAACAACTGAGAAAAACTCAAAGAGAGAGAGAGAGTCACTTCTACTCAGTTGTATGTGAAATTACATACTCCATGCATCTCCATACCTCTGAGTAGAAGTGACTCTCTTTCTGAGTTATTTTCAGTGGCCGTGTATGTGCGCCCCCTTTAAGGAGCGCCCATGATTGTAATTTCGGAATGTACACACAATTTAGATCCCTCTTATCAAATTTAGAATATGGGTAAACTTGTCTGCAGTCAGCTATCATAATGGCGATTAAATTTAAAAATACTAAATTGTTCGGACATTGGAGTTTAACGGTGGATCAAAACGCTACGATGTTTTAGGAAAGACGTTTTGGTCTTTGGTGTTGGCCTTCTTCAGTTAGTTAACGATCCTGTGCACCTCCAGGGGCCTTTGTGAAAGATTTACATCCTGGGCGATTACTAGCTTTGGCCTTGACCTGTGCCCAAGTCAAATTTCGGTCAACGTTCTTAATTTCACTGTTTAGGCTCCGCCGCCACGAGCCTCTAGGTCTGCCTCTGCTGCGATGTCCTGCTGTCCAGTTCAGTGCTTGCTTGCAGATTTCGTTTCCGCTCCGTCGTAGTGTGTGGCCGACCCACCTGCACTTTCGTTCACGAATTTCTGTCTCTATCGGCTTCTGATGGCACAAACGATGAAGCTCGGAATTTGAGATCCAATTGTGGGGCCACCAGGCACGAATTATGTACCGCAGGCATCGGTTGATAAACACCTGCAGCTTCTGAGTGTTCGCCGCTGAAACACACCATGTTTCACTGGCGTATAACAGCACAGACTTCACGTTCGAGTTAAAAATTCGGATTTTGGTGCGTCGACTGATCTGATTCGCTCTCCATACATTTCGCAAACTGGCAAACGCAGCCCTTGCCTTCTTAATCCGTGCACCGTGCCAAGATATTGGAAGCTTTCGACTTTCTCCACTGCCTGCCCAACTACCGTGAAATTGGCACGGTTTTCCGTGTTGACATCCAACGATTTGGTCTTGTTGACGTTGATGATTAGACCTGCTTCAGAGGAGCGTTCCACAAGGTCGTCGAGCTTACTCTTCATGTCAGAGCGCCGTTGTGCTAATAACGCAACATCATCAGCCAAATCGAAGTCGTTGAGATGCTCCATGGTAACCCACGGTTCGGTACACGGTCAACGGCGATTACGATGAGGAACAGTAGCGGTGATAATATGCATCCTTGCCTCACACCCGCGATTACCCGAATCGGGTCAGACAAAGCTCCGTTGTGCAACACTCTGCATGAGAAAGCCTCGTACTGCGCTTCGATGAGGTTGACGATCTTATCAGGGACTCCCTTGCGTCTCAGAGCACCCCACAATTTTTCGTGGTTTAGTCGGTCGAAGGCTTTTTCGTCGTCAATGAATACCAAGTACAGGGGCTCTTGGACTGCTCCAAGATGATGCGGAGTGTGACAATATGTTCCACACAGGATCTTCCAGCACGGAATCCTGCCTGCTGTCGTTGGAGAGTCGCGTCGATCTTCTCCTGTATCCGATTGAGGATAACTTTACACAGAACTTTGAGAACAATATACAGTAACATGATGCATCGTCAGTTGTCGCATACAGTTGGATCCCCCTTCTTGGGGACTTTTACCAAGACACCCTGCATCCAGTCAGTCAGAAAAGTCGCGGTGTCCTAGATATTGACAAATAGTTGATGCAACATTTGTGAGGATAGCATGGGGTCAGCTTTGAGCATCTCTGCTGATATGCGATCGACCCCCGGGGCTTTGTTGGACTTCATACTTTGGATGGCTGCTTCTATCTCCTGAAATGATGGAGCTTCAGTGTTGACGCGAGTAACGCGCCTCACCCTTGGCGGATCATGCCGACATGTTGATGGTTGGTTGACCGTTGAAACTTCGAGAAGTTGTTCAAAGTGTTCAAACCAACGTTTCAATTGGTCAGTGTTGTCGGTGAGCAACTGTCCAGTCGTGTCTTTCACAGGCATCCTTGGGTTCATTCTTGCCCCACTCAGGCGTTGTGAAACATCATAGAAGAGGTGGATATCGCCAGTTGCTGCGGCTTTCTCCCCTTCATAAACCAGGGAGTCCTCCCACGCTCGCTTGTCCCGTATACAGGAACGCTTACCCAACAAACATTGAATGTTGAATAAGAGCTTATTCAGGCAAAAACATGCTTCTTCAGCTAAAAAATAGCTTATTCAGCGGTTGATCCACTCAAATTGTTTGTTGGGTAACTTGCCTATCTGGAGCCGAATACCGCTGACGGGCCTCGTTCTTGGCTCCTCGGGTCCTTGCTCGCTCTATCGCGGCTTTTACTTCTCTCCGCTCCTCGATCTTCCTCCAGGTTTCATCGGTGACCTTCTTCTGAGTGCGCAGCTAACCCAGGTTGCTCTCGCTAATTCAATAAAGGCATTCTTGATGCTCGTCCACTGTTCTTCTACGCTGCCACCATCTGGAATATTAGCTGGGCGAGCCTCGAGTTCTTCGACGAACGATCTCTTCCCTGCTGGGTCTTCCAGTTGGCGTGTGTTGAATAGCCGCCCGAGTCCCTCCTCCCGCCGTTGAACCCGCGCAATGCGTAGGCGGATTTCACCGGCCAGGAGATGATGGTCAGACGCGATGTCAGCGCTGCGTTTATTCCGAACATCTTGAAGGCTTCCTCTTCATTTTCGGCTGATACAGATGTGGTCGATTTGGTTCTATGTATATCCATCACGGGAGACCCATGTGACTTCATGCACTGGGCGATGGTGGAAGAGCGAACCCCCGATCACCATGTCGTTGTTGCCACAAAACTCTGCAAGCAGCTTGCCGTTCTCGCTCATATCTCCGAGACCATGGCGTCCCATAATGCGCTCATAGTCCGAGTTGTTGGAGCCGATCTTCGCATTGAAGTCGCCTGTGTAAATCTTGATATCACCTCTTGGAGTCTCGACAGCATTCAGTTGACTGTAAAAGTTCTCTTTGTCCTGCAATTCGGCAGCATCGGTTGGCGCATAACATTGGATTATGGTAAGGTTTCGGACCCGTGTTCTGAATCTAGCAACGATTATTCTCTCATTGATAGGTTCCCACTTGATGAGCGCAGGCTATGCTTGGGCGCTAAGCAGAAAGCCAACTTCACGATGTCGCGGAGCGTTTTCACCTCGCATACCAGAATATAAAAGTACCTGTCCCCAAGACAGCTGGTGTTCTCCAAAGTTTGGCCAGCGGACTTCACTACGGTCCAGAATTTTCATAGCCTCACTGGTGAGTTGTGCCAGTTTACCCTTTTGGGCTAGCGTCAGTATATTCCATGTTCCAATTCTTGTCCGTTGTTTAGCGCTAAAAGTCGTTGCCATAAAATCAGTTCGTAATCTTTCACCTATAACAATTTGAAGGTTTCGGAGACAGTAGGTGGTTGGTCTAAGGTCTCCTATCCGCCGTGATGGAACTGCCATCTTGGGTATAGCTTTCGGGGAGAAGCATTTCGTATTCAGCCGCTGGATGCCTGGCCTTCTCCAGGGAATTTAAAATTGAACAGTCTTTCGATCAACGCAATTATCTTTGCGATCTTAAACTAAAACTAACCCTGGTAAAGATTGCAACCCCTGGATCGAAACGTTGACGATGATAACACCACTGAAGTAATTGGAACTGCCCTGAAGATCTTTGAACTCCCATAATATCCTCTAAACATCGCTGAATTTCTCAGAACTTTTTAAACGCTCCCATTTTCCTTGCCTCGCCTTGAAATTTATGATAATATGATCTATCCTGAAGCTCTCACAATTTTTCTAATGAATTCGATACTTGACTGAAGCTCATAAAACTTTCTGTAAAATATTTAATCTTTCTAAAAGTTCCCTAAATGTTCAAGAAGTTTATGGAACTCTCTTATATTCACACATTTTTCAGCTATTCATGGAACATCCCTGAAGACCCGCAAATTTCCCGAAATTTTTGGAACATTCATGAAATTTTCGGAATAATTCATGATAACGCAGAACTTCCTGAAAGTTCTTGCAATTAAAAACGAAATTGCTCTGAAGTTTTCTGATCTTCCTCGAAGTACTAGGAGCATCCTTGAAAATAAATAAACAGCTTAAAACTCATTAAACTTCTTTTTATTTTTCTGGACTTCTCTGAAGATCTCAGAACACTGCTAAATTTTTCGTAAATGCCCAGAGTATCTTGAAGTATCCTTCAATTTTCTTGAAGTTTATTGAACTTCTCTGTCACTGATCTTCCTTGATTTTCTTGAAGTTACCCTAAAGTTCTCACAAGTCTCCTGAAGTTCTTTGTACTGCCCTGAAGTTAATTGAACTGTCTTAAAAATCTTTAACCTTCCATGAAATTCTCTGGAAATCTGTAATGTTCCTGACTAAAATTTTCGGGAATTTTTCAGCATCTTTTCAAAGTTTCTCGAAATTCTGCTGTTCATGGTGCTGTCCTGAATTCATCTAAATTAATCTTCATAGATCTTTTAACGTGTCCGAAACTCAGAATGTTTCTGAAGTTATTGTGACTGCCCTTAAGACTTCTGAGTCTCCCTGAAGGTCTCTAGACCTAGTTTCCCTGAGGTTCTTGAACCTTCTCTAAAGTTTTCACATTTTTTTTTCAATCCTTTGGATTTATCTGAAGTTGACTATCTTGGAGTTCTCTGGATATCCCTGAAGTTCCTAGAACTTCTTAAAAGTTCCTGCAGTTTCTCTGAAGCAGATGTAACCACCTTGGAGTTCTCTGTGTTTCTCTGAAGTGCCCACAATTCAGGCTGTTCAAGAAACTTCTCCTTTCATTCCTTGAAACTTCTTTCAAGTTCCTACGATTTTTTTGGACTGCTCCTTATGTTTCTGGAACTTCCCTGAAGTTCGCGCAACTTTTTTGTTGATGTTCGTGGAGTTGCCCTGAAAATGATAAAATTACTTGATAGATCTCTAAACTTCTCGACGTTTTTTGTACCTCCGTTAATTTTTTGGCACTTATGTAAAAAATTTATAATTTTTCTTGACGTGACTATTTTAAATTTTTTGAACTTGTTGAATGATCTCGCAATTTTTCTGATTTCAGTAAAGTTCTTACAATTTTCCTGAATGAAACTGCCATGAAGGTCTTTGACCGCCAGTGAAGTTCTTGAGATTTCCTGACATCTTTGGAATTACCCCGATATTAAAATTCCAATGGATTCACTTTGGGAATTGATAAGATCTTTTAAATCATGGTTAGCAAACGTCGCGACCCTATCAACTCAGTAATGTCAAGGTGGTTGGGTTCTAACCCACGATCTACTGCTCTGTAAGCTAAAACGGTCGCTCTATGGCCACCGTTCCCCTTACTACATCACAACAAACTACGACCGACGATAGTCCGGGTACATGAAGCCATTCAACTGAAAGCAGTTAAAAATGTTTTCCAAATCAAGCGTGCGTCATATTTTTCTTAACATAACGATTTTCTACAATAGTGGCCTGGGATAGATCCTAATATAATTTCCCAGCAGAACTCAACTATGTTTTTGCATCCGGGTATTTTACCTAAAATATCGCTACTTTTATTTCCCACCTCTCCGACTGAGTTTACGCACGTTCAAAAGCGATTTTGTACTTTATATGATGTAATTTAACATCAAACATAGCATACCCAAGTAACAATTCTAGTTTTATGAGGGTTCTGTAGACCATGATTTAGACTTGTAGCATGCTTTAAAATCACTATAAAACTTGCGATGTTTTTGGGTAGTGTAACATATGCGAAACCGTAGAAATTGCGAGTAACTTTCCCAAACAGAACGGGATTAGCCACGAGTTAATCGCGATCGTGGTATCTGTTTCTCGAAGAGCATCAAGTTTCATAATTATAGTATAATAAAGTCTAATAGTGTGGATTTGAACTCAACGAATTAAAATGGCACCATGATCTGGAGATAACTAAAATAATGCTCTTTTATATCTTTTCAGGTTAAAGCAGAATGATGTGCAACCAAGTGGTACTCGATTATGAGGACTGGGTTTGGGAAGAACGTATCACGAAAACAGTGATACTATTATCACTTTTTATTTGTACATTGGACAATGCTTGACATTACCACTTTTTCAATAGCTTCACGTTAAAAATCATCAGTCGGAAGCAATGCTATAGATGCATAGATTTCTGATCGATTGGTGATAAAAATTATTGAAATTGATCCAGGAGCAGCTGAGTTATTAATGTTCAAAATCTTTCATAATTTTGTTCATGTTCCATTTTCGGTTTTCATAAAGTGTACCCCCAATATAGAAATGAAAGACATAGTCCTACTCTAAAAGCGTAGGCTACTCGTGAGCTGAGTGACCTACGCTTTTCGATTTTTTTCCATACGAATGAGTAAAAGTGACTCACTCTCTGAGTTAGTTTCGTTATCAGTGTACAACGCAACGAACAGCCTTTTACAGCACTCGGCACTGATGAAAGCAGTCAAATTTTCTACGCTTTCCTTACTTAAGCATTTAGATTAGCATGCGAAGCTCCACCTTTTTTTCTGTATTTTGCTGATGTAGGTCAATGATAGAAAAAATCATATTAAAAAAAAAATACATTAAGTTTGAGTGGCCCGTATCTCTGTTCTCTCGATGGTCATAGCGAGCGAGCACGTGGTGAATTTCGCTTAAAAACTGAACATTTTGCAATAGTTAACCATCGATTAACAACTACCATCTTTATACAAAACAAATCTTATATTCAATCTGAATAAAATGGTGGAATTAAAATTGAATTTCATACATAAATGACTTTGTTATAAGCGTTCAAAACCTGACACTATTTCGTCACACCGTTTTTTTTTATTTGCTCCTCAGTATAGTCCACAAAGACGTGGTCCTACGACAAAACCGGTTATTCGAAACCATTCCACGTTTTCCGGAATTTCGAACTATGTTTCAAAATGAACAAAATCTAAACTCATCACACGAACCTAACCGCAAAAGCCGAACAGTAGATCACACGCGATCCATGTTATCCCGCTGGGTAACAAACTGAAATCAACAATCCTCTATTGTAGGCGAAATACGCGTTTGTCAAGGCTGGACGATTAAAGTAGTGGAATTAAATGAAAATTACTAATCCTTCTTCTTTCCTCTATATCCAATCGTTAATTCAACATTGCTTCTGCTATTTGAAAGTCAATCACGAAGAATGATCTAGCGGAAATGACCCTATTTGAATCCTGATAGTCAACAATGAGCACTAGCATTTACTTCCACTCAGCTTGATTGAATTAATGTCCGAGCTAGTAAACAAATGTATCCTTCAACTCGAGGTATTCAACCGCCCTCCGCGTGTCATCTATAAATATACCGACGAATGCCAATCAACATAAAAAAAAGCTCGGGACGACACGATATAAACGAAAGACTTCAACGGCAATATGCGAGGGGAAACTTGTTTTCATTGTCAATGTCCACGGTGAACAACCGTTGCACAGCAGTGCAGTGTGTCGTACCTTTTGAACCATCTTCGCGAGTCATCGTCGTATCAGACACGCGCCCGCCAAATCTAACTACAAACAACGTGACCTAGAGATACCCCCGAAACTCACCGATGACATATTCCAAAATAAGATTCCATCCGATGGTGAATGCCGCAAACTCTCCGATGCTGACGTAACTGTAGATGTAGGCTGATCCTGCCTTCGGTACCCGGGCAGCGAATTCCGCATAGCAGAGGGCAGCGATGGCCGAGGCAATGGCTGCCACCAGGAATGAAATGACTACGGCAGGGCCAGCCTGCTCGTATGCTACCGATCCGGCGAGGACGTACACCCCCAGCCCCAGGGTGCTGCCCACTCCCAGCCCGGTCAGATCCAACAGCGTAAGAACTCGCGCCAGCTGGGAGTCACTTCCGTCATCGTCGTTCCGTTTTTTACGCGTAAGGGCAATCCAAAACCGCTCGAAACTGCCACCGCGGCGCATTTTTTTTTTCTTTCTCGGTTGTTGATTGCAATCTCACTTTTAAGATGCGTTCCGGTTGGGTGCACTTTGTTGTCTCACACTCGGGCACACTCAGGCACAGGCAGATCGGGGTTCCTCTCGGTGCTGTGAAGTGAAAAAAAAAAACAAAACAAGAACGTATAAGGAAGATAATTTAATGTAATGCCATAAAGAGCGAATGTGGAACTCGATAATGATGATTGCCGGCAGATTGTGGACTTCAGCGAGAAGGCGTAGTTGATGGCTATTTCGAGAATGCATGATTTTTATACTTTTGTTCATTATTTGCAAATTGTCGCGGGGATTTACCCAGGTGTAAAACGACGATCATCACTGCCGAGCAAGCGAATTATCGTGTTGGGGTGTCTCAACTTATCCATGATATTTTTTTTAAGTAGAAAATCGGTCATTGTCAAACATTTAATTGAGTAAATCGCAATGCATCATACGTTTATTTCGTCAAACCGTCTCAGGTCAAACCAGTAAATCATAATTACCAGACAGAAACAACCGCATTACACGTCGCGTCGTTATCGCAGTAGAATTGATTTCCGATAAATCCTGAAATTTCATTTCAAGCTGTCATATTTTACCTAGGTCTGGCGAAAACAAATCGCACTCACTTTTAGAAAATGATAAACAAAACAAATTAATGTGTGACTCTCTCGTAGCCATGTAGTAGTTGATGTGTTTGATTTTTTTAAATTTCGATAACATTTGGAACGTGGAGCTACGAGACGATTGTGAGTATGCACTGCAAGTAACCGGTGGAAACTAACGATTTTAAATTGGCTCACTACTTGGCTAGCCTATTGGTCCCAAGGAAATCGATTAACGTACCCCATTCTAGTCAAAATTATAGTACTACACAATGCTTGTTTTGATTAGCTATGAAAGTTTGACAGATAAAATGAGGGGTTCGTGGATTTTCGAGGGGTGCATCGATTAGCTTGGGACCGAAGATAGTACTAGAGCCTAGATTCTTTTTTGAAAATTTTGAGTTGGATAATCAAGAACTGGTTAATATCAACAAACGCGTATTCGTTGATGTATGATGAACTCATTTGTTCATTTCGCGCCTATGTAACAGAGATGATTTTCAAAACAAACGCATTTCATCTGCATTGGGTTGAAGCACTACTCCTTGCGTGTGATAGTAAATTATAAAAACAGACACTGGTTGTGACATAAGTTTCACGAAAATTGGATGCAATTTAGGAAATTGGCGTGATTGAATAAATGTGAAAAAGGCGTGATGCACCAGAATCATCGTTAACTGGAACGAGTTGAAGAAATGCATAATATTGGCCATTGACGGGTTACCTCAAACGAAACTGCGGATAAGAACAAAACTGACAATAATGTAGATACAGTAAAATATTTTTCTCTTTTTTTTCAGCTTCAGCGGACGCTTGTTGCATTAGTTTTTCTCATTTTCTCTATCCCCAACGCATAGGAATGTTTTGAACATTGGAAAAAGCCGGTTCGGTGTCATTACCCGTCCTTGATAAATGAAAATCAAAACAACGCACTCTTTGGTGTACCAATACTGCTAAACGACTGCACGAGTCTCATGCTAAGATGACGTTGATCCATGGCCTGCATAGATCGCGGGTTGCCTTTCATTCTCTACTATTAATACTCATACATATTTTGGGTCCGTTGGTATAGAGCCTACTGTCAGCATTCAGGCTTAAAGGGGTTAACAAAAATCTAATCTTCGATATTTGATTTTGACCTGAGACGACAACTGAGAGACAACTCGTAGCTGATTTCCAGACCAATTTAGGTCAGCCGCTGATTGGTAAAATTTGAAAACTACGTATGCATGCAAAAAATCGAAAAGGGTGCTCAAGCGGAACCCGGCAGTGTTGTAACATATGTCATCAGCATGTTTTGCTGCGTTTGCTTTTAAATTTTCGTTGTATCTCGTTTTTTTTTTAAATTATGTTGAGCGCTGTGAATTTGCACTTCGTTTAACATTTCGGCAAGTCAAAATGACATGATTTATTCGAACATTTATTTTGAAAAATATTTAATCTAGAGTCGGTGTATAATGAGTCACGCCAAGAGAAAAACGGTTGAACTCGCATCACGGTTTTCGAAAGATTCCCTTTCTTTTAACTTGGCAACAGAGGACTTCTACATCAACTTCAAATGACTTCTAGCGAGAAAAAATAATAGCGGCTGTAGTAAATCATTATATCAGTGATTTTGTCAAATTATCTTAACAAAAAATAGTAGAAATTCTCATTACGGATCATTACCAAACGTATCCCATGACAATTGAATGCTCACTGCGTGTTTATTATCATTTCTTCGATTATATTTTATATTTTATTGCAATACCTTTCGTGGACCTTTCAAAGCATCGTAAAGTTTGTTTACTTTGCACGATAGGTAGCTGGTTTGACAGTTCGATTGGTAGACTTGGCTTCACTCTTGGCGTGACTCATTATACATAAAATCTCTCAGATTCGGTCAAAACTGAACCTACCCAAAAATGGGTCAACTATGTTGGGAGTGACAAGTTGATAAACGAACAAAGTCGATCGTATTCACGTCAATGTTGTCCATTTGTTATCTTGTCACACGCAACACAGTTTACCTATTTTTGGGTAGGTTCAGTTTTGACCGATCTGGGTGGATTCTACCCAAATTTGGGTAGTTTTGAAAAAGCGTGCACTGCAAAATATCACATAGATGCTCTTGTTCGTACTATCTATTCAGGGATAGAAGGAGAAGAACAGCCTACGCAGTCAACTGAAGCTTGAACCGGGTACCTGGGAAACCCACAATACCCGCGGCAACAACGAGCAATCAATACGCTGCCGTTTTAGTTTTTGAATTTTGTTTGAATGCATTTAAAAATGCATTATATGTTATGCACTGGATTTAATTAAATTTTGTAGTGAAGTGAAGTGCGGGTGGTGCTTAGTAGACCGGACATTAGATCGAGCTCCTAATAAAGGTTGGCCGATTGAATTTATTGAAACCTTTTACCATATAATATGTTTCTCCACACCGTATTTTCTCGGGCACACAACTGACGATCTACTTAATGTACGAAGCGGAAAATGCTTCTCAGGTTGTGTTCCATTAGATGAATTTTCACTTTAATTTGACAGATGGAAAATGTCCATATAACCCTGCTATTCCACCAGACTTGGACATGGAATCAATTTTGACAAACCCCTCCTCAAAAATCGATCGATCAACAACAGAGGGATTTTTGAACATTTTAATCTATGTTCGAAGTGTCAAATTTAACTTAAAATTCACCAAATGGCACACAGCTTCGGTGTTTGCTGCAGAGAAGCAAGCAGCAAGGCAATTTTTCGGATCTGCACGGCTTCTTGATATGACAAAAGCAGATATAGCAAGGGGTATGTCACTCAGCACAGTCTGTAGAATTTAGATTTGGCACAGCTTGGGCACATTCATCGGCACACCTTCGGCACGCTCTCGTAGGCATTGGATTGTTCATTCAATAAAATGGGAGCACTGCTGAACAGCTGTCATTGAAGTTGTTCACAACAATACGAGCTGTATACTTCAGGAACATCCTCTAATTGAATATACCAGACGAACCCGCAATTCACTAAACGGTTCACTGTTTCACACATTTAAATCCGAAACGTAGGATATAGCGAGGGCTCTAGAGCAGCGTTTCTAAAACTTTCTTTTCTTCTTTTTATTATTTTGGAATTGGATAGGCTCCCAACCTTTCAATATTGAATACAGATGTTGTATATGTATATAATATGACGCTGTATGTGTATACATATGATTACCTGAAACTTAAAAACAGATTGACATTGAATCGGCTTGAAAAACATAAAATTCCGACTGTAATAGGGTTAATAGGGCAAAATAGGGTTGCGATCCATAGATTGAGAAAAGCTGCTCTAGAGTAAGAGGTAGTTAATCAGACCCTAATAATACCCATAATTCAAATAATGCTTATTATAAACTAACACAAAACAAACTACAGAAGTCATACTCATCGTCCTCTATTGTAACCAGTGGTGTGTCTGTCTATCTAAGATTAGTGAGATTGTCGCGATTAGTGTTTCGTATTTTATGTATAACAATATGCCAAGGAAAGGTTTGAATACAAACTACCAACACCACCCATCGCCCACAAAATCACCCACTGGATGGGTACACAGTAGACTGATGCAAATTTTGACTTTTTCGCTCCACAGTGCTTAAATGGTTTCAAATCGGGTCCTGATTAGCCTCCCAAAATAACAACTCATTTGGTTGGAAACAGACTTCGCACAAGCCATTTGAAGTTTACATGTAAATAACTATGGGAAATCTCAACTTTTTGTTCATTGCCTTCTAGTCTTTTTCCATATTGAGCTGCGAAACAGTTCGATAGCCATTCTTATAGAAAATTTTCTTAGCTACAACTTTGCTGAAGATCGTTTCTATGTAAAACGAGACACGAAAAAGCTATTAATTATTTAAGTGATTGGTAAACTTATGACATGATCAAGCAGCTACTCTGTAGGCAACACTGTATTTTGCAGTGTGACATAGTAGCCATGATTTTTGTGTCCTATTCAACGCCCCAAAAACACCAATGTTGCCTGCTGAGCAGTTGATTGAGCATGATCATAATACATCAGCGCATTGAACCATTGATAACTTTCGATTCTTGTATTTAATCAAAAAGTGGTCTTCAGCAAAGTTGTAGCTGGGGAAATTTCCTACAAGTACAATTGAAAACTTTTGAAGCAGACCCATATGGTGAATTATTAGATAGACATGAACAAAAATCTTGGTTTTACCATAGTAATTCCCATACAAACTTCAAATGGTTTGTGCCATCTCAGTTTCTCACCAAATGGGTTCACATTTTGAGAGGCTAGTCAGGATCCGATTTGGAATCGTTTAAGTATTGTGGAGTGAAAATTTCAAATTTTGCATCACTCTAGTACACAGCCACACCACTAAACGACAGGAAGATCCTCTACCTACCACCAGATGCCACTGTTTACTGGATTTGGAGGCCATTAGGAGGTGGTATAGTGGAGCCATGATGAGGCAAAATAGGGCGGAAGGACGATGGCTCATCGAGGAGGAGAGAGGATAGG